CTCACCTCTGTTGATCCCCAATTTCTCACCTGATGGCCCCCCTGCGACTGTGCCTGTCTTTGGTTGTTCCTCCCTTGAGGAATCTTACCCGTCTCTGGCTCCCTTGCATTTTTTAAAAGTTGATATCCAAAATTGTTTATCATAAGTTAAAATATTTGCAAAGGAAATAGTTTCCAATGTACTTTAAATATTGCCATTTAAAAATAAAAGTGGTAAGTACTCCTAAGGGTATTCAGTGGAATCTAAACATTGCAATTTGATATCCATGCTTTGTTATAATAAACACTATGAGTCAGCCCAAATTGTACATCAGTTTTTTTAATTAACTTGTATTTTCATTTCATTTTCCACATTGAGTTTTATCCTAATTCAGTATTTTTAATGCTTGAACATTTCTTACTGATTAGCCTATCACATTCTTCTGTAACTAAAATAAGTGTAATAATTTAAATTTTGTTGGGACCTTCAAACTAAGATATTTTAGTATTTTCCTTGGAATTATTTTAATTATTGGAACACAGTTAATCAAAATAAATGCATTTTTGCTCATTACACGATTTTTGAATAGTTACTATACAAAAGTAAAAATTTATTGAAATGCATCTCAGTGTTGTCTCCCTACCCCTTCCTGGATGAATGTTGTCCGAAGAGACAGACCTCAGCACCACTCCTGCTTTTTGTTTTTATAGATGTGATTGCTGAGAATCTTTGTTCACCTAGCTAGATGGAGAGGCAGGGAATTTTGTTAAAACAGGGCCACTCAATATTTTGAACTTGTTTTGGTTTAAAACCCCAAATCATGTAGTGATTGATCTTTTACCAAAATACTTAATAATATATCAGATGATATTGGATTAGCCCTGCCCTCCATTTTGTTGCAAGCAAAGACATGGAAACCGAATTGTGAAAGACTGACTGCCAGGTGATTCTGATTTAGTTGGCCTGGAGGAGGGCCAGGGTATTAAGGTTTCTGAGTTTCACAAGTGGCTAGCTGTGCAGCGAAAGTGGAGGACTATGACCATGTCACATTCTGCCCCTCAAAGCAGCTTCTAAATCAGTTGCAGCCTGTACCTCATCTGCTTAAAATCCTTCAAAGGCTTTATATTGTGTGTATTGTATTATTTCTGTCCGCTGATTGGCAGTCTTCAATCTACAGAACGTGGAGACTTTCTAAGGCCAAGATAGTCTTGTAGGAATCAGTTTTCAAGTCCTCAGCTTTCATGTGTACACTTTCCTGAGATTAATCTGCGTGCGAACATGCCAGGGACAGGAGGGGAGGTCTTCCTTTCCCATCTCTCCATTCACAGTTGCCCTTCTCCTTGGAGGCACACCTCGCCCCAGCTTGGACTCTTACCACAGCGCTTTGTTCCCATGTGCAGAAAACTCCTGGGTGCCAAAGAGGTAATTTGAAATCTGGTTTCTGGGTTGACTTTTATATAGGTGAAACATTTTTTAAATATATAAGGGCTTCGTTATTAAAAAATTAAGTTATTGATACCTAGTTTAAGTTTGTCACAGTCAAAGAACATACTCTATGATTTCAGTACTTGAAGGTCTGTTGAGACTTAGGAGTGGTCAGGTTTTTGGAAAATGTTCCTTGTGTGCTTGCAAAGAATGTGGCTTCTCTTCTCTGCTAGTTGAATATAGTGTGCCGTTTAGGTCCTTAGGTCAAGTTTGCTGAATGGGTTCAAATCTATACCCTTCCTGACATTTTTGCTTGTTTTTAACAGTTAATAAAAGAAGAGTGTTAAAATTTCTTTGTATGGATTTGTTTTCATCTTTGCAATGCTGTCAATTTCTGCTTTATATATTCTGAGGCTAAAATTTTCCTGGTAAATGAAGTCTTTTGTCACTAAGAAAAGCCCCTTTTTAAACTTTTTATTGAATTAGCTGTATAAGTTTGCTTTTGGTTAGCGTTTGCATGTTTTATCTTTTTCTGTCCTTTTTTGCGTTTCTTTATATTTTAGAGTTGTCTTTTGTGAAGAGCATATAATTAGGTTTTGGGGGTTATTAGTTTATTTTTATTGTGATAAAACACACATAACAAATTTTACCATTTTAACTTTTTTTCCTTTTTAAATAATTTAATTTATGAAACCATTTTCTTCAATAGGATACTCATTGGCATTGAAGCAGTGCTTAAGAAGGTAATGAATATCTACAAAAACTAGCTTTGGTTATTGTATTTATGTATCTGTACATGCAAAAGAAAATTTCCTCAAACATTTTTATTGTGGTACAGTGTATATAACATAAAATTTACTATCTTAACCATTTTTAAGTGTACAGTTCAGTGGCATTAAGTACATGAAACTTGTGCAACCATCACCACCATCATCTCCAGAACTTTTTTTATCTTCCCATACTGGAACTGTACTCATTAAACAATGACCTTCCATTCCTCACTCCCCACAGCCCCTGATAACCAGTATTCTACTTTCTGTCTCGAAATTCGACTAGTCTAGGTACTACTTCATAATATTTGTCTATATCTGGCTTACTTCATTTAGCATTATGTCTTCAAAGTTCATCCATGTTGTAGCATGTACCAGTAGTTCAGTCCTTTTCATGGTTGAATAATATTTCTGTGTATGTGTGTGTACACCATGTTTTGTTTATCCATTCAGCTGATGATGGACACGGGTTTCCACTTTTTTGGCTATTGTGAATAATGCTGCTATGTACATGGGTGTATGTAAGTGTCTGTTTGAGTCCCTGCTTTTAGTTATTTTGGGTATATGACTAGGAAATGGAATTGCTGAGTCATGATAATTCTATGTTTAACTTTTTGAGGACTACCGAACTGCCATAGGACAACACCATTTTACATCCCCATGAGCAATGCACAGGGGTTCCAATTTCACCATATCCTTGCCAACACTTATTTTCCATTAAAAAAAAAAAATAGCCATCCTAATGGATGTGAAGTGGTATCTTGTTCCATTTTGCGTTTCTCTTAATAACTAGTGATGCTGAGCATCTTCTCATATGCTTATTGGCCATTTCTATATCTTCGGAGAAATGTCTATTCAAGTCCTTTAATCATCTTTGAATACTTTTTTTGTTGTTGCTGTTGAGTTTTAGGGATTCTCTATTCTGGATATTAATCCCTTATCAGGTATATGATTTGGAAGTATTTTCTCCCAGTGTGTGGGTTGTCTTTTCATTCTGTTGATGTTCTTTGGTCAAGTAACAAAAAGCAAAAATTTTAAATTTTGATGAATCGAATTTATCAATTTTTTTGTTGTCTGTCATGAATATTTTCCCGTGTTCTCATCTAAGAGGTTTTTTTTAAATAGTTTTAGCTCTTAAGTTTCAGTCTTTGATCCTTTATTTGATTTTTACACTGAACTTTTATTTTGAGAGAATTGTAGATTCACATGCAGTTGTAAGAAATAATAGAGAGCCTGTGTACCTTTACCAGCCTTTGGTCTGTCTACATTTAGTAAAATTAGTGATGTATTTGGGTTTAATCTACCATCCTGTTTATTTTGTATTTGTGCTGCATTTCTCTCTGGTCTTTTGGGTTGGTTAATTTTTTTATTTTTTATATATTTTTAATTAAGGTATCATTGATGAACAGTCTTATGAAGGTTTCACATAAACAACATTGTGGTTACTATATTCACACATACTATCAAGCCCCCCCACATACTCCATTGCAGTCACTGCCAATCAGCATAGTAAGATGCTATAGAGTCACTACTTGTCTTCTCTGTGCTATCCTGCCTTCCCTGTTGTGTTGGTTGATTTTTATCCCATTTTTGCTCTTCTAATTTGAAAGTTGTGTGCTTGTTTCCCAGTTCTTTTAATGGTTACTCTGGAGTTTAAAACACACAGGCATGTTTTTACCAAGCACATGAAAAGATGCTCAACATCATTAGTTATTAGAGAAATGAAAATCAAAATGTGTACCTTCTTCCTGGACAATGCAAGGATTTTAGAACATTTTAATTCCATTTGCCCATTGTTGTCATTTATTTTAATCTTTTCTATTTTGGATCACATGAAAATTGTTTTATGCACTCAAATATTTATTTAGATTTTTACCCTCATATTTACTGTATTTGTTGTTCTTCATTCCTCCCTGAATCTCTGACTTCATATCTGTCTCTGGATCATTTTCCTTCTCTTTAAAGAATGAAAGGTAGTTTTAATGTTTTTGCTTCTCTGAAAATGTCTTAATTTAACTTGCATTCTTAAGTGATACATTTGCTAAGTATAGAATCCTATGTTGGTTGTTACTTTCTTTCAACTGCAAATACATCAATCTGTTATCTTCTTGTTCCCAGTGTTTTGTTTAGAAGTCCAGTTTCAGGCTAATTTTTGCTCCTTTGAAGGTAATCTTTCTTTTTTCCTTCTGGTTACTCTTAAGAGTGTCTGTTTTTCTTTGCTCTGTCTTTTCCTACCCCCTTTCTTTTTTAAATGTGCCTACATATGGTTTTCTTTTTATTCATCTCTTTCAGTTTGTAAGATTGAAGATTTCTGGTATAATGTCTTTTTTTTTTTTTTTGACAGTAGCAAGAGGGTACCTCATTCTGTTTCATGGGTGCATAGTATTCTGTTGCAAAGATACACCATCGTATTTTTTTTTTTATGTCCCCTTGGTATAATGTCTTTGAATGAGTTTTAGTAAGTGTTTGGCCATCTCTTTAAGTATTCCTTTGCCCTATTCTCTTGATTCGTGTTCTAAAACTCCAGTTATACATAGCTTAGACTTTCTCACTCTTTCCTCTCTCTTATCCACAATTTTCTATCACTCTTAAATTATCCTCGGTTTCATTCCGGATATTTTTATCTGACTGGCCTAAGAGTTCACTCATTCTCTCTTCATCTGTGTTTAATCTGTTGTTACACCTATGCATTACATTGTTAATTTCAGTTATTTTATTCTTTTATTTCTGGAATTTTTTGTAGTGTTATTTTTAAAAATTTCAGTTATTTCCCCCAAATTCTCAATCTTGTCCTTGAACATAGTAAGCCAGTTAAATTGAAAGTCCAATATCTGGAGTCTTGTCAACCTGTTTCCTCCCTCCTTTCCTCCCTGCCTGCTTGCTTGCCTGCCTGCCTGCCTTCCGGTGGTTTTTGTTCATATCCTGTCTCTTTGTGTGCCTGGTTATTTTTTATTGTGTGCCAGATATTATATTTATAAGATTGTTTGTTAAAAAATTTTGAGGGCTGGGTGAGTCATCTTAGTCCAGTTTCAGTGATTGGGAGGACTCAGAGCTGAGCTACAGCCCCTGGGAGGGCTTTTCTCATTCACTTTACTTTTGGGCTGCAGTCTTGGGGTTCCAACCCAAAGTAATATTAATTCACCAGGCCTTCCTCTCCCTTAGATGGTCTTGGGCTCAGATTCCTTGTCCATCTATCCTCGAGAGCCGGTCGCATCACCTCTCACTTGCCCCCTGTAGAACTGCAGATTCTCCCAGAGCTGGTGAACTATAGAAAACTGGAAAGGCTGAGACTTCACACTGTGTGTAAGCTGTCACGCAGTACTTGCTAGCTCCATGTTCTTGGGCTGGAGCTGGGTCTTTTTACCTGGGTTCCTGGTGCCCAGAGCCAGAACAGTGTCTGATGGATCAGTGAGTGCACAAGCCAGATCACCTATGATGGGTTAAAAAGGCTTTTATTTTTGAGTTTTTTCTGATTACAGAACTAATATGTTCATTATACAGAATTCAAACAGGAAGTAAACATTGCCTGTAGTTACCTACCAAAGTCACCTATCATTAATGTTGGCTCATGTTTCTATGATTTTTTTTGCTTTCTTTCTATATATACTAATTCCTTTTTTTTTTTTTCCAAAAATGAGAACACAGCACTGATACTGTCTTGTAGTTTGCTTTTCCTCTCTTAGTATCTTTGATATCGTTAAGTGTAAGTGCTGATGGATCTGCCTCATTCTGTTAAAAGGCTGCAACAACCAAACTGTCCCCAAGAGGGTGGGAGCATTCACAGCCCCATTGGTTGAGAGTTTGTGTTTCTGTCCAACCTCACATCGGTGCTAATGATCTCTTTAATAGTTGCTGATCTGCTAAGTCAACAATACCTTGTTTTAGTTTGTCTCTCTGATGAGCCTTTGTTTAATCACGCTCATGCACCCATCTGCAGACTTCTTCTACAGTGGATTCCTGTCAGAGTATATGTTGACAATTTAGTTTTCCTGAGCAACTTCCTGGTGAGTGAGGGCAGGCTGTTTCCCTTGCCTTGGGAGGTGCTCTGTTCTGCACCTGGTGTTTCTGGATGCCAGGGAGCATCTGTCTTCTTGGTAGCGGCTCTTCATTTAAATTATGGTAGCCCAGAGGCCCCAGAACATGACCCTTCCTCCCTGTCACCACTGGGGCTTGGTTAGGTCTGCAAGAGGCGGGAGGTGTGCTGGCCAAGAGCTTGGAGTTTGGATTAAGCCAGACCTGGTTTGAGTCTCAATTTGGAAGGTGGTCACAAGGAGGTGGGAGACTAGAAAGGAGTTGGTGCAGTTTGTGTTAAAGTCCTGAAGGCCATGGAAGATGTAGAAGACAGAGCACAGCTTTCTGAGTCAGAGCTAGGTGTGATTAAGACCAACTACTTACCTTCCGTGGACAAATTATTTTGCCTTTGAATGTGTTTTGTTTTTTGTAAAATATGTGGCTCAAATAGAGGTAGTAATCCTTTCACAAGGTCCCAGGGCAGGAGCAGTGGGGATGGAGAGAGGAAGCTGCACCAGTGGGTTTGGTTGATGTGAAGAAAAGGGAGTCATGGTGTGAGAACCTGTGGCCAGGCCAGGAGGAGACTGGGGCTGGGGTGGTGAAGTCTGGGCCTCAGCAGCCTTGGGACACTGTGGCCTCCCTTTCTCCCCTGGAGGGTCTGGCAGCCCCCTCCCTTCCTGATGAGAACACTGGGAGTGGGGCTGCATTCCATTGGTCAGTGGCACTGGTGACCTTGCTTGCTATCCTGGTATCAAGGAGTGCCCTCTGGGTGGGGCAGATGGGCCTGTGCCAGGTTCCTTCCAGCTGGCAGGGAGGCTCATGGAGCTCTAGCAGATCTTTTTGCTCTGCCTCCAGCCTTGCTTCCTCAAGGACTGGGAGATGCATGTCCACTTCAAAGTTCACGGTGCAGGGAAAAAGAATCTCCATGGAGATGGCATCGCCTTGTGGTACACCCGCGACCGCCTGGTGCCAGGTAGGGTGGTGCCCGCGCAGGTGGGAGCATCTCTGGTCAAGGAGCCTCCACTCTGCACGCTCCTTTTAGGGTGTTCCTGCTCCTTGTAGAGGAAACCTGGGATCTCAGGCTGGCTTAGGGGAAGTGTTCCTTTGGGAAGAGGAGTGGCTGGTTCCTGCAGCTCAGCTCTACCCTGCTGTGGCCTGGTGTCATATGCCAGCTAAGAATGGTTTTTACTGTTCTATTTAAGGGAGCAAAAATGAGGAAGACTATGTGGCTGAGACCATAGTGGTCCAAAAAGCCTAAAATGTCTCTTCTATAGCCCTTGACAGAAGATTGCTGACCCCTGCGTTTTTGCTCTGGAGGGGTCCTTCCTGCTTAGCTACCTGTTTTCACAGGCTGGGTTATCCCCTTGTCACCTGACACCTCAGAACACACAACTAGGTGCTGTCCCCTCACAGTTCAGGGTTCAAACTTGAGTCCTTTGTGTCACACCCCTGCAGACCTCCCCTTAGAGGTCCCCTCTTTTTCCTGGGTGAGCAACCACAATGAACCCCTCTTGCCCCTGCCCGCACTCGCATTACTTTGTCCTTCAGGTACTTAGGAGACAACTCTAATTTCCCCCATTGTGAGAGCATCTCCTCTAATTCCAGGACCTGTGTTTGGAAGCAAAGACAAGTTCCATGGCTTAGCCATCTTTCTGGACACGTATCCCAATGATGAGACCACAGAGGTAGGCTCCTGCTCTCTCCCTCAGAGCAGGACAGGAAGCGTTGGGTAGCTGGCTGGTTCTCTGGTCCTGGCACAGAGGAGCCTCTGGGGATCAGCGTGGTGGGGTACCCTGTGGCCTTCTACAGGCTGGGCTGGCCCTGGAGTAACTAGTGTCTTGGTCTCAGCGTGTATTCCCGTACATCTCGGTGATGGTGAACAATGGCTCCCTGTCCTACGACCACAGCAAGGATGGCCGCTGGACCGAGCTGGCGGGCTGCACGGCTGACTTCCGCAACCGTGACCATGACACCTTCCTGGCTGTGCGCTATTCCCGGGGCCGGCTGACGGTGAGCAGGCAGGACAGGGGCCCGGCTCTGCCTGTGCCAGTTCTGCAGGGTCTCGAGGAGGTGGGTGGGCTCAGGCCTTGGGTGTGCCTGACCCACTGGTCGGCTGCAGGTGATGACTGACCTGGAGGACAAGAACGAGTGGAAGAATTGCATTGACATCACAGGAGTGCGTCTGCCCACTGGCTATTACTTTGGAGCCTCGGCTGGCACTGGCGACCTGTCTGGTGAGTGTTTGGGCTGAGCAAGGCATTAGGTCCCATTCTTGACCTTCTCTGGTCTGTTGGGAGCTTGTGATAAAGTTGCTTGCCTTCTTAACTTTCTTCCTTTGGTTCCACACATGCCTGGGTTTCTTCCTCATCTTCCATCACCTGTGTAGGTCGGCACACCCTGGGCTTATTCCATGAGCAGTTCCTCCCCAGTGATCTTCCCCTCTCTTTAGATGCTGGGATGCTTTGAATCTGGCCTCTGTAGAATCCCAGATTTTCATCTCCAGTCCAGACCTCTCCAGACTTAGATCACCAACAGCCTGCTCAGGACCGCATCTCACTACTAAGACATAAATGGTATCTCTGTCCTTCTGATTGCTCCGGCCAAAAAACCTTGGTGTCATTTTGGACTCTTTTTTCCTCTTACACACCACCTCTCATCCACTGGCGAATCCTGTGGCTTTGTCTTCACAGTGCAGCAGTCCACTTCCCTCCCCTACAACCTGGTGGGGCCAGGCCACCATCCTCTTGCACTTGGACAACAGCAGGGGCCCCCCAAGTGGCCCCCACTTTGCAGGCCAGCCCCCAGAATTCTTTCCCCAGCATAGCACCAGAGTGATCACTTTAATACTTGTGTGAGGTCTCACCACACCTCTCCAGTCATGCAGTCAAGGCCAGTGCGTGTCCCACCATTGGTCTGCCAGGCCCCACGTGCCAGCCCTTCCACTCCATCATCAATGAGTCCATGTTCCCTGCATAGTTTAAGTGTCCCCCACCCCTGCTCAGGCCGTCCTGACTTCAGTGCCCTCCTGCTGCGGGCCTTTGTTCTTATGCCTCATCCTTGTCTCAAATCTTGCTCAGAAGTCACTTCCTCAGTGGGGCCTTCCCTGATTCCCTTATTTAATATTGCACATACACCCGTTAGTCCCCTGCAGGACTCCCTATCTCCTTTATTGGCTTTGTTTTTCTTCATAGCATTTAACTACCTTGGAATCTACTATATCATATTTATTGGATGGTCTGTGTCCCCCACTGAACTGTAAGCTCCATAGAGCCAGGGCTCTGTCTCATTTGGCCCACAGTGAGTGCTCTGTGAGCACTGGGGTGGCGCCAGCCTGAGTAAGCCTCAATGGGCCACCAGGTCTCAGTGGCACTTGATTGTGGCCCTTGGCCATGGTCCTGTGTCCTCCTCTCAGGGCCTTGAGAAAGCCCTAGGCCCAGGGCCAGCTCCTGCCATTGGAAGCAATGTGGAGGACTAGACAAAAGGCTTGTTCATCCTTAGGATAGACATTACTAGGGCCTGTAATCTAGCCACTGCCCAGGAACCTCCCCTTCACCATGAAGTGTCTGGGTCCATTCATTCCCCAGAGTGCCCATTGTTTAGAAGTTTTAAAGTTTTTAATGTGGACATTTTAATTGTGTACCCAAAAAGGGGAGAATAGCCCAGTAAGCCACCTCATTCCTGTTACTCACCTTCAGGTAATCATTACCTGCTCATTGATTACCTGGTCATGAGTTATGACAATGCCATTCTTGCTTCATCTGTAGATCTACCACAACCCTTCCCTTCAGGTTACCTTGAATTTCATCTAGCAGTATTTCAGTGTGTGTCATGAGAAAGTTCTGGAACAAAGCCAGGTCTGTCTGGCTCTGGATCTCACCTTTTTAAGATGCAAAGATGTAGGTGGATCTCTCTCAGGCTGTTTGGAGAGGCCCAGTGAAGAGTGTTGGAGATGGCCATTTGCGCAGTAGTGTTGGGCCGTCAATTGAAGGGTTGTGAATGCCAGCCTCTGCACCAGGCATCTCAGAGATAAAATCATGTGAAATATTCCTAGGTAGGTAGCAGTCTCTTCCTCTTTTACACAACTGAGACCATTGGGCATTTGAGAGTTGAAGGGAGGGGTTGCTTCAGGTTCACACCCAGAGGACTGCAGTCTGCCTTCAGGGTGGTGCTTGTTCCTGAGCCTCCAGAGGTTGTGTGTGGTCAGGTACCACCTGGGCTCTGCCATGCCAGGCTGCCAGTCCTGCTCTATAGGATCTTCTTTTTCCAGGCTGTAGAGTTCTTCATGAAATGGGGCCTTTCCTCAGGTTCCATTGGGTTTGCTGGACTGATAGCTGACCAGGACCTCTATCTTATCTCTGAACCTTAACTTCCACATCTCAAAAATGAGGTGATCAATGACTGGTTAGACCCGGGCCTTTCCCAAGTCTCCTCAGGTACAGTCACTGACCATGCATGGGGTCGAGCTCTCAGCCAGTGGCCGAGTTGTTCGTCTGCACCCCATCCTGGGTCTCTGACAGGAATGTCTGGCAGCTGCCTCCCTACCTTAGGGAGGCTCAGGCTTCTCAACCACCTGTAGAACAATGTGTGGGTCCTTATCTGGTTCCGTTTTCAGGTAAATGCCACCTGCCTGGCAATATGTTTTCCACATTGTATTTACTTTCTCATTTACTATCCACGATAACTATCAAGATGGAGATTATCGCTTCCATTTCCAAATGGGAAACTCACCTGCGATTTAGACCCAGGTGACTGACTGTGAGACCCATGCTTTTTTCTGTCCGCTCTGCCTCTTCCTGGGTTTCTGCCTGCTGTGTTCTGCAGGTACTCCAGCCCCTGGAATATAGCCTGCTGCAGCAGCTGGAGGTCGCTGGCAAGAAAACAGGCCCAGCAGTGGGCAGAAGCAGGCTTCTCCCTAGGCCACTTCGTGTGGCTGGGGTAGCAGCTTCTCTCTGGGGAGGGGCAAGGGCCACATTCCCCAAGGCAGGCTCCATGACTCTTATAAGCTAATTTTTGGTCCAACAGACAACCATGACATCATCTCCATGAAGCTGTTCCAGTTGATGGTAGAGCACACACCTGATGAGGAGAACATTGACTGGACCAAGATTGAGCCCAGCGTCAACTTCCTCAAATCGCCCAAAGGTATGTGCGTGAGGCCCCTTCTGGCCTGGGCTGGGTGACCTGGTGCAGGGCTGTGGCCTGGGCTCTTGCCCATGATCTGTTTGCCCTTGCTTTGTCCGGCTGTGGTTGTGGCCTGGACTTTTGGGTCAGCAGTCAGTGCCGATGAGCAGACGCTAAGAGCACCTGGCCTGCTTCCTCCTGCATTCAGTGCTGGGACAGTGGCCACTAAAGCCAAAGTGGACCGTTTGTTGGTATGGGCGGTGAGCAGAGTGCTCTGATGCCACAGGTGTGTGACCTTGATGAGCAGTCTAGCACATAGGTCCTGTCATTGGCCAGGGGAACTGATCCCTCAGGTTTCCTCAGCTAAAAAGAAGTAAAGGCAGGATTCAAATTAGTTTTTGCAAAACTCCAAGGCCTGGGCCCGTCCCAAGGCCCTAACCAGCAACCACTCCATTCTCTCAGTGCAAGTGCTCTTATTGGAGAAGCAAGGCCCTGGTGTTTGGAGAAATCCACCCCAAGAACCCTGGAGTTGGCATCTGTGTGCCCAGTGGGTGATGAAGTACAGGCTTCATTGGGGCAGGGTTCCTGAGGGGCTCTCAGCCTAGCCCAAGGTCACCATGTAGAGTATTAGCCAGAGTGAAACCCAGTATTTTATATGACATCTCACCTTTTTAAGATGCAAAGTGCTTTTAGGTACGTTAAATCCTACTGTATACTATTCTGCAATCATTGGTTGGCGGTTTCTGGCTGCCAAGGGCTTTCAGAGACATCTGCTCTGACCCACCCAAGAACCCCATGTGGTTGGCTTGGCGGGAATTAGCTTATTTATAGACTCATTGATCCATTCATTCCTTCAGCAAATGGTTGCTGCCTGGCCATGGCCTGGGCACTGCTCTGGGGCTCAGTCTAGTAACTGAGGCAAAGAAGAGGGCAGAGGTAGGGAGGCTGGTGGCAAGACTAGGTCAGTGGGCCTGCCCAGGTCAGGTTGGCAGAAGGGAGGATGTAGGTGAGCTCTGACTCGCATTCCGGCAAGCTGAGAAACACGCGTGGGGCAGAGGGCTGAGTGGGAGCAGGCCTGAGTGGACCCCACAGTGCAAAGTAGAGGGCCATAGCTGGGGGGTGGAGGCGGAGTGGCAGGAAGGGGCCTGGGATGTGGAGTCTGGATGCCAGCCTCTGCCCACAGACTGACAAACTTGCGGAAGTCTGCTCCTACTGCTCACAGCTGCCTCTGAAAGGAGACCATGAGCTCCACAGCCCAGGGGGCTCTGGACTCCAGGAGATAGCCGGCTGTCAGGGCCTGGGGCTAGTGAGTGTCGGTGAACAGAGGAGCGGTGTAGCTGCAGCAGAGGGACAGGGTAGCAGGCTGGCAGCCTGGGCGGTTCCCTGGGAGCCTCCGTGTGTTCCCAGGTGTGAGTCAGGCAGCCTTTGGCCAGGGCTGTATTTCTCCAGATGGGGACCTTGGATGCTGTGCAGGGTGGTGGGTGGGGCTTGTGAAAGCAGACTCAGGCTCTCTGAGGGAGCCCCCAAATCTTGTTTTCATCAGTTTCTTGCAGCAGAGGGCACCCAGGGCCTCGATCCCTGGGAACCTCAGTTCCAGTGGGATTTTCCCTCTCTCTGTTGGCCTGTCCCTCACTGGTGCTGTGAGCAGGCCCCAGCGTCCTCCTGTAGGTGGGTGTGGGGCCCTCACGGGCCCATCCCCTGCCTGGTCCTGTTGGACTCCCCCTCTCTTCTCCCTCAGACAACGTGGATGACCCGACGGGGAACTTCCGCAGCGGGCCCCTGACGGGGTGGCGGGTCTTCCTGCTCCTGCTGTGTGCGCTCCTGGGCATCATCGTGTGTGCCGTGGTGGGGGCCGTGGTGTTTCAGAAGCGGCAGGAGCGGAACAAGCGCTTCTACTGAGTGGCTGGCACTTGGCTCTGGGAAGGGCCTGGTCTTCATGAGTGTGAACTTTTTTTTTTACTGTGGCTGTAAAAGAAAAACAAGACGACCTTATTTCTTAACTGTCTCAAAGAAATAATTAAAGTATTTTCGTACATTTTGCTTCTTGCCCAGCAGGGACAGGCTCCAGGCTGGGGAATAGAGTTTGGCCTCCCCATAGTTGGGGATAGAGGCTCTGGCCATTGAGATCATCTCAAGAGTAGGGGGAGTCTACCTGCAGCTGGGCCAAGGCCCCAGCAGGTGGCTGTTGAACACTGGAGAACCCCCAGCCGCAGTGGGGTGGGCACCTGAGGACTCGAGCAGTGATTTTGTTCTGTGATGTGCAGTGTGTGTGATGAGCGAGGTCAGCTGAGGACGCTTGGCCTTCCTGTTTGCCCTCTGAACTTCTTCCCAAGGCAGACCTTGGAGTGAGGCTGAAGGAGCAGCTAGGTGGGACCCAGAGTGTGACTTTGCTAAATAAAGTGAAATAACCAACCTCCGCTATGTGAATGTCCTCAGGGGCTTGCTTTTCTTTTTCTTAAAATAACTTCCAGGTGGCCAGGGCTTCTCGGCTGTTGGCTCCCACCCTCAGCCCTCTGGCAAAGCCCCAAGAGGCAGGTGTGTGCTCTCCGACCCGCCCACCGTTCCCGGGTCAGGGAGCACACAGTTGTCAGAGGTCAAGCAAAACTTGCCTTGTGTCACACAGCTAGTGGGGTCCTGGGACAGGGCCCTGTGCCATCTCCTGTGTGCTCTGAGCCTCTGAGGAAGATGTCCGGTGCCATGCAGAGGGTGTGACTTGAGCCCGAGGAGACTCTAGGGAACGCTGGCTGAGGAGGCTCCAGGATGATCTGGATGGGATTTGTGGGTGCAGGAGGACATATTGGTCAGTAATGGTATTCCCTGTGGGGGCCTTGAGTGGACAAAGATGGCACAGAGTGAAGAAAGCTAGCAGCTGAGGAAAACCCTGCCTTCTGGCAGCTCTCATGGTTCCCCCACCCTGGCCCTGGCCTGCCGCTGCACCCAGTCATCCCCTCCTCACCACCCCTGACCCTGGCACGGCCCCAAAACTTTGTGTCCCAACCAGTCCAGAGCCATCTTCAGCATCTTGCCTCTTGTTACACTTGTGTGTCCATCCTAAAGGCAGAGCAGCCCTGTCTTTCTGTTGCAACCAGGCTTTTCGTAATTAACATTATCAGTTAGATTCTTATTCTAAAAAACAGGTAGTAGAGAAGATGAAGTGAAGAGTAAGAATTTTATTTTCCCCTCGGTCTTTCTTCTCACTCTCTAGAGCTTTTCATCGCCTACTATTAGCTGTCTCTTGGCCTCTCCATGTTTTCCTGTGTGTATACAGGACTCCTCTTATGATAGGTTGGATGCTAAGAAATTGTTTGCAGGCTCACAGTGACCAAGAGGTCTGGGGTCCTGTCCATGTAGCTGTGAGAGTAAATGTGAGCCTCCTTACTGAAAGATTTATGGAGCAGCTTCCCCAAACAGTTTGTTTCTTGAAAATAGGTAACTTTCATTACCATATGTCATTATGCGTGGTTCTGAGCAGTTCAGTGTATTAGCGCATTTTGCTCCACAGCACTTAGCCTCATGGCTGCTGCCTTGCTGACCATCTCCTTCCTGGTGGGGAGCACTGTGTCCACACTGATGCGGATGGTGAGGCCTGGAGCCTGGAACTTGCATGTCTGCTGTAACCATGTCATCAGCACCATGCTTACCATGCTTGGCCTTTAATTTTTGGCTCTGTTTTTACCTTCCACAAATTCCTGAATCATTAGGCAAACTGGCAGCATACTGGATGGCTGTCTCCCTTGGCTACATTTTAGAGTCACCTGGAGAATGAAAGTGAGCCTCCCTTGTTCTCTAGTTCTGGTTTAAGAATTGGTGAGGCCTGGGCAAGGGCAGTTACAAAAGAACCATCAACTGATGAATATACAGACTTGAGAACCAGCAGGTGTTAGACAAGTGATTTGAAGACATAGATTAGGATGATCATGGTCTGTTCTTGGCTGGCAGGGTCTTGCTTGCATCCCTTTCAAAGTTCATGCCTAGAGGTGCTTCCCTGGAAGGTTAGATGTATGTTCTTACATCAGTCTTTTCACATGTGGGTCATGACACCATAATCTACGTTTTTGCCACAGGCATTTAAACCTTCAGTAATTTCACCAGTGGTAAGTTAAGTAGAGCTGTATATCCATGTACCTGCTGTGCAATGTGAGAAATAAAATATTGCTGACAGACTTCATCCTATTTGTCCCCTGCCCTAAATACATGCATGCCTCTCCTCTTGGAGGTGATCTCTGCTGATTCTCACTCTTAATATTTCTTAAAAAAGTTACCATGGTGGTATATATCCCCAAACACAGTATTGTTTTACATTTTAAATAATTATAAATGGTACCCAGACTGTATTCCTCAATTCCTACTAAAGTTCAGCATTGTTTGTAAGTTTGGGTTGCATATAGCTCAGGATATGGCATGAGTGGACTCCAGTTTCTCCATTTAGTCAATCACTGCTGGGTGGCTAGACAGTGTCCAGGTTTTTGTTCTTAAGAGCACTGCTCTAAACACTCTTGAGCACATCTCTGTCCCTCGGTGTCCAGGAACTGCCCAGTTGTAAGTTACGTGCAACATTTCAGTTTTACTAGATGTCCCGTTGCTCTCCAAAGTGGATTGTATCTGTTTGGCTCCTACCTGGGCATCTGAGATCCCTGCCCACTGCTTAGCACTTGATACTGGTCAAGTGTTTAATTGGTGACAGTCTGATGGGTGCAAGTGTTAGACAAGTGATTTGAAGACATAGATTAGGATGATCATGGTCTGTTCTTGGCTGGCAGGGTCTTGCTTGCATCCCTTTCAAAGTTCATGCCTAGAGGTGCTTCCCTGGAAGGTTAGATGTATGTTCTTACATCAGTCTTTTCACATGTGGGTCATGACACCATAATCTACGTTTTTGCCACAGGCATTTAAACCTTCAGTAATTTCACCAGTGGTAAGTTAAGTAGAGCTGTATATCCATGTACCTGCTGTGCAATGTGAGAAATAAAATATTGCTGACAGACTTCATCCTATTTGTCCCCTGCCCTAAATACATGCAT